TACACACATAGAAACACACACAGACACACATGCACGAACACACACACGTGCACCTACCCACCTGACACCTTATCCATCTCTCATCCTAATCCCACACTTAGTTTATGTATTTTCTCTTTCAGGTAAGCTGCCAAAGTGGTTTTCTTTGATGCTGGACTTTTAAAGTCACAGGATATGGCAAAGGACTGCTGTGATGAAGTAGACATGGTATGCACTATAAGGGATCTGTCAAAATAAAGTCTGGCTCGGTATTCCTGAAGAAGCTCTGAATGGAATCTCCTGCCAGGAATGTGAAGCTCTTTTGTTATAGGAAGAAAGTGGGAGCAGAGTGGCATTGTGCATGTGACTGCTACACCTTGAAAAATCCAGCCCACTGTTTCTTTCCTTCAACATATTCTTCTATTTGGAGGCAGACTACATTATCACTTGGGGTCTGCAGCAGTGCTTTACATTCCTCATTTTCTGGTCTCAGCTTAGTAACACAGTTTAATTGAAAACTTGATTATTTTCTTGCTTCAACTTTCATCGTGAATGTTTCACATCTGGTATCTAAACCAAAAAATGGCTTACCTCTGCTGGAGAAAATATACACAGTTTATTAATTCTTTATTAGATATAATTCTTGCACTATTTTTAAACTATGTTTGTCAATCAACATTGTGTTTTTCCAAGTAGATGCAAGTGTTAAATATATTATGTTAAGAATCCTTACTTTTACAAGCATTTTTTTCTGCTCAGAAGTCAGCAATCTGAGAATTGCAATGTTGAGAGCATGCAGCAGAGGGTTATTTTAGGGAGGGCTTTGATAGGTCTTTCAGAACAGGTCAAAGTTTACAGACAGTGAGTGGCAGAATGAGAAAGAGACAGACAGAGCGAGATACAGAATCAAAGCCAGGAGTGCCACAGTTAGCTGTACTGCTGGGAAGGCAGCCAAGCTACACAGATTTTATCTGAAAGCCTATGTGAGGAGTCAAGAGCAGTTGGATATCTCTGTGCTGTTAGAGTTCAGGAAAATGATCTGTGAACTAGGAGTCAGGATTCAGAAGAAGTCCTGGAGAGCTGTAATATGGCAAGATCACTGGCTGTGTGCTAGATGAGGTTGAGGGTTTTGGAAGAAGCCTGTGAGCATTGCTACATTATTACTGCTGAGACAGTGGGAGTTCAAAATCTAACTGGCAGTATGTTGCTTGGTGCAACTGAGCACGATTAAAGTTTTCAGTAAAGTTAGCTGGTGTTATACTGTGAATGAGTACTGAAGTGTGGTTATAGAGTCGAGGGGAGCATAGATCCTGGACAGGAGGGCAATTGACCAGAATGGAAGTAGTTGCTGAGGTAGTCAATGATGGAACAATTCTTGAGAGGAAGTTTCAAGCCAGATCGGCAAAAATGAAGAATTGCAATCCACTGTGAGGTTTAATGAGATTTGATGACTAATCATTAATGGGATCTGTACTGAACACATTTGCTATTTGGTATGCACTGTGTGATGTCCAACTACAGTCTATTTATCCATGTTTACCACACGATAACTCTGAGTGTTACAAATATTTTGAATAAGTTTGCATTACTGTTGTAACATTGAAAAGGGATGTTTATTGATGTTTGTTCAAAATCATGAAGTCTTGAGGCTTATTCTTTTCATAAGTCCCCTGGACCTCTCGTTTTTGTTTATTTGCTTTTTAAAAAATTACAGTCCTTACCCCAATCTAAGTTTGGCTGTCTGATCCTGCGTTGGATCATAATTTGATGGTCTGGTCTGGGATCATAATAGTGGCTTTCACAGATGTTCCCACCCATAACATGATATCAACACAACCTGTTTGAGGGGCCGGCAGGGTCAGATGATTGTGGCGTTACCTTGACAGGCAACTTCTATTGCTGTACCAGCTTTTGTATTGCACATTGGAATGCAGAGAAAAGTTCCCTTCACTTGTAAATATGACTACTTTTCTATGCATCACACATTTTTGCAGATTATGCCTCTCTGCATCTCTCTACAGTCAAGAACTATTGGTGTTTATAGATTAAACGCCATCCGCATTCAAATAAAAGCTGCAGCCCTTTAAGGATTGTTGTCTTCCAGAAATCCCCCCTTGCCAATTATAAACCTCCCTCCACTCATGAAATATGCAAAAGGAATTAATGCTAATGAGATGGCCACATTGAATTTGTTCAGGTTAGCTTTACTCTTCATAGGTGCACTTTTTAACCAGTTTAAAATGACACTTCAAATAGAATCGCTGCTTTGTCTGCTATATAATCTTTAGTAATCCTAAAATGTTTTTCCGCAGGCTTTATACTTCTTATTAACTCAACATAGAGTTCTGTCTACTTCCTGATAAACTTCAGTAACACTTGAAGGAATCTTTAGCTTCTGGAGTGAAATGCTGAAAGGTTGAGAGAGAGATTTGGCTTTGTGTTTTAAGACTGTTTTTACAATTTCATAGTGCTGATAATGTCTGTTAAAAATTCTCAAAGATGGTGCTCTAAGGCTTGCTCAAGGTGCAACTCCAGGACCTCATACATTGTAATCACATCATCCCATCATCTTCAACCACAGCCTTCATGGATTATGAAGACTTCCATTTCTCTTTCCCCAAATTTATTAATGTGATCACAGCCCCAAATTATGTTACCTTTTAAGTGTAATTAGTTTTTAAGTAAGGCAGTTATTTTTCTTGAAATAAAGGAGGACTATAAGCCAAAAATGGTTGGAAATATAAATGTAAAACTGAATTTCAATCTCCCACATTTGTAGAGATAATGGAAGCCATTTATCACCTCAGCAGAAAACATCACCTGTGAGTTATATCTAAGACATGATAGGTGGTAAAAGAAAACAGTAATAGGTAAAATATGTTTTTGTGTTTTCCCCTTCCAGGAATACACAAGAGAGAGGGGACTAAAAGCAACTGCAATCCAAGTCTATGTGAAGTAGTTTGGAGTGCTCGTTCCATGAGGCTGGCAAGTGCTACAAAAGTCAAAGCTGAAGAACATCCACTACGCACCCCTGCTCTGTAGGTCAAATAGAAAGATTCTCAAACTTTCATCAATTGCTGAAAGCAGGTTGTAATGTTGCAAAGTAACGCTGAAATGGAAAAAGTACAATTTCCTTTGGCTAACTTGCAGAACGATCAATCTCCAAACCAATTGCTCAAAGCTCAAACTCAGCCATTCAGTCAAGGTCGTGCCTATTGAACTGTATCCTTCAAAAGAATAAGGAAAAAAAGAAAGTTTAAAGACAAAAAGTTGTTGGATTAAAAATTAATATCATTTCAGTTTGATCCATTGTTGTATTTGGTAATAGGGATTATCAGGAGGTATAACACTGTTTTAAAATTAACATGCCACTGTCATACATGTAGAATTGTGGTACCCTTACTGCCAAGACCTAAATGGTAATCAAATTGCCAACCTTTACTCATTGCGACCTTGCTCATGTTAGAATGAATATATTAGCACAAGTGTATGAGGTCCCTCTAACCACTATTGTAACTAAAGCCACAATGTGTTTTAATATTTATAAGGCAAGGGTTGCTATCTTTGTTAAAACAGTGGACAAAGAAACATTTAACGCATTAGTGTGAATTTCAGTCCCAGTGATTTTTGTTAATTTACCCAATATGTGAAAAGCGAAAAGGAATATTGTAAAATATTACTAATTATTTTAACTATGGAAAATAAAATGAATTCTTTCTCCAATATTAAAAAGGCACTGCAATAACAGTTTGAAGGGTGACAACAGTCACTTGAATTACAGACAACTGAATCAGTACAAAAACTAAAATGAGCGCTGTGATTTTCACTTTCGTCGGCAAAAATAACAACAATGATCTTTTTTCATGTAAAGTCACTCATTTCAGCTATGATTTCTGCAGAAAAAATATTAAAAACAGCAGCTCTTAGAATTAGAATTAACTTTATTGTCACATGTACTCATATCAGTACAATGAAATGCTTACAAGTCTCCACTTACGGTGCCCTCTTAGGTACAAAGAGACTTTGGTACAGATTCTTAAGTACAAATTCTTCCAAATAAAATGGAAAAGTTAAAAAATAAAAATAAGTCAAGCAGAGGAATAAAGTAGAAAAAGAAAGAAATAAAAAGTATACAATTTACAGTCCTTTCACCCCACTCTGTGCACCGGGACTTGCCTCCAGTCCACTTGCCTCCATTTCGCGAGAAGGAGACTTGCCTTCAGTCTGCACTGACCTTGCCTCAAGACCGGAACCAGCCATCTCACCGCCAGCCACCATCCGAGGTCACCAGGCACTTTTCCGCAGAGTTCCGCTCTGGTGCTGTTCGAAGAAGCCACAATGCCACCAACCACCAGAGTTCTGCTTGGACACACCAACCTCCTCATGGCCAACTCTCAAAGCTCCTGCATTGGGACCCCAGCTACTGTCATCACCACTATTGCCTCCACAACCGACCTCCCTCCAGGAGGCAAGTAGAGAGAAAAAAACTAAAAAAAAAGAAATGAAAAAGCAAAATATATGTTACTATATGTACTGTATTACTCATTAGGTAAAGAATGTATACGGGACCTAAATTCCAGTAACTTTCAATCAAAAGCAAATTGCTCAGATAATTTATTTGTCTATTGTTAAATAAAACCAATTGTCTAGCTGCTGTGTTCCTATATCTGATGGTATACAGTCCTTTCTGATATAACATTATAGTTGCACTTTTGTGTGACCTCATGCTATAGAAAATTGTGCAATAAAAATAACAGGGCTTATGGAAAAATGGGGTTGGGGCAGACCACCAAAAATATCACTCAAAATTGAAACAAATCAGTAGTTAGGATCACATCGTTTAAATAAATGTTAAATTCATATCTAATAATGAAATAGTACAGTGAATTTAACACTTTACCTTGAAAAAAGTTTGAGGGGAACTTGATGAGGGAGGAGGGTGGTTTTGAGGTTGCTGAGTCATTAATGCAGGGGCTGGGGGTCATCACCATCACCCTCAGGTGCAGTTGTGGTTGCAGGGTTAGGGCGACAAATAGTTCATCCAGAAGTGGATAGCTGTGGTTCATTGTCTTCTGACTGTTTCTCGGGGGTTGCCCTAAAAAAGACATCCAGTTTTTGCTTCTTTGCCATTTTTCTTCTTTCATAAAGAAGCTGCTCATAGGGTGCCAAATAAGATCTTATTCCACAAACTGCAGTCCTGCCATGTTCTGTATTGTAATCATAGACTTCTAATCATAGCAACTGCTTCTCAATTTCCCTCAAGATTGAAGATAAAACAGAAGTGGAAAGCTCTTGTGGCGCTGCATATTTGACTTTATCTTCTTCATCTTCAGCTTCCACTTTCCCCTCAGCAACAAGTTGTTGTAGATCAGCTGTAGAGAGATTTTCACAGTGGGACTCAAGTAGCTCTTAAACATCCTCACTCACCACTTCTTCAAATCCAACTTGCTTTGCAAGAGCAACACAATGTTCTTTGATTCTTGGGAGTTCCTCTGACGGTTCAAAGCCTTTAAAATCATGAATAAAATCTGGGAGAAACTTCCACCAAACTTCTTGCAAGCAGTCTTTACTGACATCAGGAAACGTCATCAAATGTTCCTCAACTGCACTGGCAGATTCGCCAAACAGCTGTACGTTATTAAAAGCATAGCAGTCCTTAAAACCAGTAAACTAGCCACTACAAGCACTGAAGGCAGGCACATCTGCAGAATTTGCAGCTTTTTTCTTTAGGTCTTCATAAACTGATAAGGCTTTCTCTTTTGTGGTGAGAAAGCTGGTCCCAGATCACTTTTACATTTGATCTTCTATCCACACACATGGAAGCCACTCCATCCCTTCTAGTTCCTTTGGCTGTGATCTCATAGATTTTCTAATATTCAGGCTTGTTCCAGCAATACAGCTTGCTTTAGTTTTTTCTGCATTGTCTCTAATAGTGTGTAACATAGACTCATTTATTCCTGGTGCACGAACAATATTGTGTTCTTTCACTATGTTCAAAACGCCTTATAACATCTCTTCAAGTGCTACAGCCTTCCTTTTACATTCACCACCTGCAATTTTATCATCAGGCCGCTTCTTGTAAACATGCTTGTTACTTGTCTTCTCATATTTATGGCTGACGCAGTAAAATTTGCAAAAAAAGGAACAAAAGTTACAGAGATCCTTTCAAAAATCAACTGAATATGTGATGCTGACGCAGAGACTCTGTCGGCATAAACATTGTATTCCTCCGCATCCCATGACCCTTAAAGAGTTGGGGATGGAATTGTGTAATAGCCAACACATACACGCGAAAGTTACAAACAGCATTAACTTATCCATCAATTGCATTACAGCCAATTTGCATGGATGAAACACACGTTATAGCAGAAAGGACTGTACAGTATGGTGCATTTGTCAGAAAACTGCTGCTCGGCATTGAAAGAAAAATTGTTTGCAGTTTGATGGTGAATCAATTATACAAACAGAACAACAGGAGTAGGTTTTCAGCACTTCAGTCCTGTTCTGACATTCATTGAGATCATGGCTGATCTGTGGCCTAACTCCATATCTCTGCCTTTGGCCCATATCCCTTAATATCTTTACTTAATAAAAAATTATCTCTCTCAGATTTAAAATTAACAACTGATCCAACATCGTCTCTTAGATTGGATTTAGGCATTCAATTAAGAAATGATTATTTTCTTATAAATATAATCATGTTTTACAGATCAGAAATAAATGCGTTAAGAGTGGCTCAGCAAGTAACTGGTATGGAACAGCTGTTTTTTTTAATGAAGCCATGCACATGAAAATACTGATGCAAACATATGATAATTAAAAGTGCTGATTTGTCATCTATCTCAAGTGCAACGAGCAGTTCTGGTCTCCACAATAGGAGATGTGAAGACTTTGGAGAGGGGGCAAAAGAGGTTTACCAGGGTGTTGCCTGGACTGGACTGTATTAGCTATGAAGAGATATTGGGCAAGCTTGGATTGCTTTTGCTACAACATGGGAGGCTGAGGGTTGACCTGATAGGAGTATTTTCTTCTTCATTTTTTGGGATGTGGGCATCGCTGACTGGCCAGCGTTTATTTCCTGTCCCTAGTTGTCCTTGAGAAAGTGATGGTGAGCTGCCTTCTTGAACCACTGCAGTCCTCCCCACTGGGGAGGGAATTTCAGGATTTTGACCCAGCGACAGTGAAGGAACGGTGATATATTTCAACGTCAGGATGGTGGGTTTGGAAGGTGCTGTCTGAGAATCTTTGGTGAGTTTCTGCAGTGCAGCCTGTAGACAGTACACACTGCTGTTACTGAGCGTCGATGGTGGAGGGAGTGGATGCTTATGGATGTAGTGCCAATCAAGTGGCAGAGCAGACTTGAAGGGCTGAGTGGCCTACACTTGCTCCTATTTTCTGATGTATCTAAGTGACTATACCTTAAATACATTCTCCCCATTCATGCTAGATCCCCTTTTGAGGCTTAGTAAATCAGTAAAATGAGCTGGCAGTGCAAACTTTTATAATATAAGAACTAGGAGCAGGCGCTGTTAATATTGCCCCTCAAAACTACTCCACCATTTAATAATGATCATGGCTGATCTCATCTTGACCTCAATTCCGCTTTCCTGCCAAATCTCCACAAGCCTTCAACCTATTACTAATTAAAAATCTGCCTCCTCCTTAAATTTACTCAATGTCCCAACACCCACTGCACACTAGGGTAGTCAATTCCACGGTTTCATGACGCTTTACAGCAAAGTAATTTCTCCTGAGAGAAGTCATTTCTCCTTTAAGTGCGCTGCAGTACTTACATCTCTCTCTGGCCCATTACTTGTGTCTGCACATATTAATGGATGTGAAGAGCTCCATGTTAAGAACATTAGACCATAAGAAATAGGAAAATGAGCAGGCCGTTTGAGCCCTCAAGACTGCTCTGCCATTCTATAGGATTATGGCTGATCTAATATTCCTCACGTCCACTTTCCTGCCCTTTCCACATAACTTTTGATTCCCTGACTGATTAAAATCCATCTATCTCATCCTTAAATATGTACAAGGTCTCTGCCTCCACAGCTGTCTGTGGCAATGAGTTCCAAAGACTCACAACTCTCTGAGAGAAAAAATTCCTCCTTATCTCAATCTTCAATTAGTGCCCCTTTATTCTGGGACTATGCCCTCTGGTCCTAGACTCTTCTGTTAGTGAAAACATCTCAGCATTTACCTTGAAACCCCTTAAGAATCCTATATATTTTAATTAGATCACCCCTCATTGTTCTAAACTCCAATGAGTAAAATGTTGTTGACCCTTCTATTTGCCTTTGAGATGTATATGGCATTCTATTTCATAAGTGTGATCTGATGTGCTACTTTGTCACAATGGATTAATTGATGCCTGCTTTATCAGTGGAAGGTGCCTGGATCAAAGGCAGCAACTTAAATATTTTCCAGGCCTTTCACTTTCAACAACATCTCATTCTAAAATAAGAAGTGTGAATGTTTAGAGATAGTGGGAATGGAGAATGCTGGAGAATCTGAGATAACAAGTTGTGGAGCTGGATGAACACAGCAGGCCAAGCAGCATTAGAGGAGCAGGAAAGCTGATGTTTCGGGTCTGGACCCTTCTTCAGAAATGGAGGAGGGGAAGGGGATCCTGAAATAAATAGGGAGAGAGGGGCAGGCGGAAAGAAGATGGATAAAGGAGAAGATAGGTGGAGAGGAGACAGATGGGTCAAAGAGGCAGAGGTGGAGCCAGTAAAAGTGTAGATGGGGAGTTAGGGAGGAGATAGGTCATTCCAGGGAAGACGGACAGGTCAAGGGGGCGGGATGAGGTTAGTAGGTAGGAGATGAGGGTGGGGCTTGAGGTGGGTGGAGGGGATAGGTGGGAGGAAGTACAGGTTAGGGAGGTGGGGACGAGCTGGGCTGGTTTTGGGATGCAGTAGGGGGAGGGGAGATTTTGAAGCTTGTGAAGTCCACATTGATACCATTGGGCTGCAGGGTTCCAAAGCAAAATATGAGATGCTGTTCCTGCAACCTTTGGGTGGCATCGTTGTGGCACTGCAAGAGGACCAGGATGGACATGTTGTCTGAGGAGTGGGAAGGGGAGTTGAAATGGTTCGCAGCTGGGAGGTGAATGCTTATTTACTTTTCAATTCCTGGGATGATTAGTCTGATCGTCACCTTTGAACAAAAGAAACAAGGTGAGTGTTTCAAACCCAGCAACGACCAATGTTTTGAACCAGGTGGAAGGTAAAATGAGTTTTAAAACCTTAAAGCTGATTCCAACTTTCCCACTTCTGGCTACAGAAAAGATTAATCAATCAGTGAAATCTTTTAGGAAATCTGTATAATTCCGTTTTCTAAGCACATTTTTAAATCAAAGAGTTTCCAGGGGTGCAGTAATTCTAGCAGGTAGAGATGATCAAGGTCAGTCTATGACGTTTGTGCAATTATGATACTGTTTTTAAGTCAGAAGAAGCAGCATTTTCTAATGGCCCTAGAAAGAAAA